ATTGCGAAACATGCGTGGTCATTCGACCATCGCATAGATTTTGATAATTCTAGTGTCATCGACAAAGGCTTTTTTCGCATCAGAAAAACTTTGGATGCTTGGCACGCCTCTGCTACCAAGCATGCTGACAATAATTCTAAGCCGATTCCTAACCAGTATAGTATTCTTTTTAAACAAGTCACCTAATTTACACATTTTTACTTTGCTTTTGTTCTTTTTATTATTTTTATCTCGCCTTTTCTTGCATATACTTTATCATTTTGCATTCATTTTTTATCCGTCGAAGGCTGTAGGTTGACAGCCGAAATCTCACGTTCTTTTTTAAAATTTTTCAGCCAGCGAACGTTTTTGCCTTAATTTTGATTCATTATTTCTGCCATGATGGCGTCTATATCCTAGAGAAAACGGTGAGGCCCGGAAAGTTGTATGACCTATTATCATTCTGAAGTGTCGGTAATTTTTGTTGGCGTCAGCCATCACAGTCACCAACATGTAACTCAAACAAATCTTCTGCTACAGTCTTAACTCACTAGCCGGAAGCTCATTTTCTAATCAAAACGGAAGTCAGTGGCTCGAAAAACTTTAATGATATAGTATTTCAATATTTGATAATGCAAGAGTTTCAAAATTGCTCTTTGTAAATGCAAACCAACGTGTTTTTCATTTCTCGGCTTAACTTCCATTTCCACATTCACCTTGTAATTACTTTGCTTTCTCTCCCATTTTACATATACTCTTACCAGCGCTTCGATTTATTGTTATATCTTCCATCTCCAACTCTATTCTTTTACAGTTTCGGTTCAGTTCCCCCTCTGACATCTTCACCCTCCTCTAGTTCCCCTCCTAACTTCCTCCTTGGCTTCCTATAATTCCCGCCAGCCTGTTCCTCTCTCTAACCATTTCCTCCCTATCAGTTCTTTTACTCCTTACTCCACCCCACCACCCCCATTCCGCACTTACGCTTTATTTGATAGCTTGATTACTCCAACCTCTACGGAGCCCCCGTTAATTAGACTTCTCAACGACTCCTCTCCCCTATGAATTTTGCCCGAGATCCAGTCATGAAAGAGTGACGGTAGCAAAGCAGTCCTACTAAAATAAGTTTGGGTTGCAGGCGTAAACGGGGCAGAGAGGGGAGGCCCGGGCGGGGGGGGAGGCGAGAAACGCACCCCTCCTATCCTCGCTCTAACTTCCCCTTTTCCCCGTTTTACGCCTGTTACACAGACTACAAATATGAAAGCGATTTAAAATCCCTTCATTTGTTTGCGACGGAACAGAGAATGACTCAGCATTTACATATTATTCTTCTATCATTTTTGTTGATTAACGTTCATCATTTGGTTCTTTTAGTGACTCGGTGGATCCTAAAGGAGCTGCTTGTTTCTCTAGGATTACTCCGGCTAAACAGCTTTTCTTTAATAAAGTT